CCCCCCCCCCCCCCCCCCTTCCCGTTTGGTCCCCATTAAATTAAATTAAAATTTTCTCTTTCCTATTTACAACCACACAATTTTCAATAAAATAATATTACACTTAAATCGAAAAATTTTCATCCCTTTATAACCATCCATTTAAAAAAAAAAAAACACTAATCCCCCAAACGGGGGCTAGTGTATTGCGGTTTAAATGAATGCATCATGCAATTTTCAATAACTTTTATTGAATAAGCGATCACAATTTAAATATATGAATAATTGAGCAAAAGATCTCTATAATTCTTAAATTAGCGATCACAATTTAAATATATGAATAATTGAGCAAAAGAATTAAAATGTGTATGACTGTCTTATTTTATTATAAGTTCGTATCAGTATTTACCCCCTGTTTGGCCTTCATTACGTGGAAAAATTAATGGGTAGAATAGTATTTTTTTGAAAAATGAGTGGTTGAAAATGAAGAAAATTTTTTCGATTTAAGTGTAATATTATTTTATGGAAGATTGTGTGCTTAAAAATAGAAAAAAAAATGAAATATAATGTAATGAAAATTAATGTGCTCAAACATGTGATTATTTATATTAGTTAAAAATTTTGAAGTGGGACACATTCTGGCAATACCGACAAATGCAATTCTTGTCATGCCAAGCCAAAGGGCTAGGCTTATGTGGCACCTTTTGACACGCAGGTGAGTAGATACTATAGTTTTTAAATATAAAATTATTTAAAATTTAAAATTTAAATATTACAATAAAAAACACCTATATTAGATTATTTGTATCGAGCCAAAACGCCTTGTTTTTGAACTTCATTCTCTCTGGCGCTCTCTGTCTTTCGCAACTTTCTCTCGTTTGATCTGTTGCCACCTCTACGGTAAAGTTCTTATAAATTCATACCATCCACAATACTTTCTTCTAATTTTCCCTTATCTCTTGAAATTGTTACCCCCCAACAATTGACGTGAATTTATTGATTTTATTATTATTATTATTCATAATCCGGTGTAATTCTAATTGCACCCGGGGTTTTTTTTTTTGAAATTTTATATGAGGGAACTGCGGATAATAAACAGTTGCAGACTTTTTAAGTTATTGAGTTTTAATAAGGTTTAACTTCAAAATTTATCTTTGAAATCATGTACGTTACTCTCTGCTTGGAATTTTTTTGAACTTTAATTGCTTAATAATCTGCTTATATAGATGTTAGAATCTGTGATTTTTACACATTTTTTGTAGTATATATGAAATTATCTGTGAGGAATTTCGTTGGTTTCGTTAGCAAATTAGATAAGTAGTAAATGGATATCCTGTCTATTATAATTAAGCCTCTCTCGATTGTAGGGTCTTGCTGAAATGGTTTTCTGCTAAATCTAAGTGAATTTTCCAAGTAATGACATATAATAATAATTCCCATTAAAAGTTGTTGTGTTGTTTCTTAGTCAGTATTGGATGAATTGCTATATATCTTGTGTTTGCGGGTTGATCTTGAAATTTCGTTATTCATCCCCGTAACCTAGATGTGCTGGCTCTCTACTCTACAACCCCTTTTTGTATGCCCTAACTTGACCCGTAGCTGAAGAAGCTTTAGATAATTTATATATGTAAATTTATTTACATTTTTTCTTTCGTTCACAATTGTACTTAATTGTGTAGAAGCCGGAATTAACTCTTTTTACTTCCATTAATCCTCTGGCCTCAAGTCTAGCAGAAAATTCTCCGGGTGGGATTACTTAAATTGCTTTCCCAAATGATCAATACTGAAAGCAATGGCAATGGGATCTTTCTTAGTGGTGCTGGCAGTCCTGCCGTGGATAAGCAACCATCTAGCACACTGAAAAAGATGGTATTAAGAGACGTGCAGAACGAAAATGTTGGATCAATACATAAGCATCAAGAGAGTTTGCTTATTGGAGGAGGAAAACCCAGTGGTGATGCAATTAAGGCCCGTGGAACGAAGCGACTTACACCTGAGCGCCTTTCGAATTCCTCAGTTCATTCCTCCTTGGCCTTCAGTGGTCCAAATGAGAATATTACGAACACACATAGAAGATTAGAATTAGAACTAGGAAGTGGACGACTCCCAAAGAATGAAGGCAAATATTCTGGTTGTCCTAAATCAAGGAATTTGTGTCCATTGCCACTGGAAATATCTAAAAAGCAAACACTTACGAGGGAGAGTAACATTCCTCGTGTTCCTGTAGCTACTTCTAATCATATGAGTCCAGTGATGGTTTTTTCAAGTGTTGGACCTTCAGTTCCCAGCTCTCTTGGTAATCACAGAAATAGCACCCAAGCTCCAGGATCTGATTGCCTCAATGTCTCTTCAGAGCTACATCATGTAGTTGATTCTAAGGACAACAGTGATCAGCTAAGAACAGAACGATTTATTCGCCTGCAGAATTTTTTGAGGCAGTGTGATGAAGCTAATCAAATGGATCGCGTTCAGAGTGAGTCTCTTTGTGTCTCTATGATTTTATTTAACCATATTTCTGTATAAAGTATAACGGTTTTGGATTTGCTGTTTGCTTGACGTGGCTTCCATCAGTGCTTTTAAATTTATCTCCTCTTGAGCTTAGCAAACATGCCGTTGAATTGGAGAAGAGAGCAATTCAATTGACAATTGATGAAGGTAAAGACAATGTGAATTTTTTGGCAGTTCTTTTTTTTCCTTGTGTTCATCAGCTAGTAAGTGTACTTCGCCTAGTGTTTGATTGTCTAAATTGTTTGAAAGTTACGTATGGCGTAATGAAATGGGAACACGGGATATTGAACTGAAGAATGATTTGTTTTGTTTATCTGAAATTTGAGTTATATGGTTTGAAGTTGTCCATATTTTTTTCACACTGTAACCAAAGGATACTCTTGTTTATATTGTTACAATTAATAAACCTTCAACTTTAAAAAAAAAAATTCTTTAGATTTTCTGGTCTTTGATTGCTAGAAATGAGGGAATATGAGTTGTACCCATTATGGTACTGGCAATTGCCTTTATGGTCTCATCAACGGATGAGGATAAGAGAGTGAAAAGAAAATACGATGATTGAGTTCATGGAAATTGCGTGGTATTATTGTTTTTGCATCTTAAAATACTATTACATTTGTTTTTGTGTTTGTTAAGGACTTTTACTGAATAAGCATTGTATTTTAGGATCTATGCAGATGTACATGTATGTTCAGACAACATTATCTTAGAGATAAAAGGTGTATGGGTCTACCTCTTTCGGATTCACTAGACAACTTTGGTTTTCCTGCCATTTTCTCACTTTCATTTTCTCAATGCTTGTGGGACGCTAATATTTAGGTTGTCTAGTAACCAAAGCAGGAACATAGAGAATAAGAATTCAGTGTAATTCATGATATGACTATGAGAAGTTTAAATCAGACCAACAGAGGAGGTGACAGATAGTTCCTCATGGTATGATAGGTATTTGCAATGATCTTCTCTCATTTGTCTCGAAGTCGGTCATATTTGCTAATCAACAAAAAGGGCGTTTCTACATCCAACTTCATGCCTTGCTTATTATCATAGTTTCAGCATGCATTTGAATGACGTCACCATATCAATTCATGTAACAAGATGGTAAATACCTGTGATTCTTATTATTCTCCTGTCATTGTAGGAAAAGAGATGCAACGGATGAAGGCACTGAATGTTTTGGCAAAATCTTGCCCAACAAAAGTTCCATTGTCATCAAATCATTTACTACATTCCAACAAGGATAAGTGATGAAGTATATAACAATATCTTGAGGTGCAGAAGGACGCCTTCAGGAACTCTATTTGTACTTACATTCGGACCAAGCCTGAGCCAAGGGTTATCGTCTGCTTCAAACATTACTACAACCAGTTGCGTAGCTGTTGATGAAACACAACCTTTTTTTTTCTTTTAAATCAGTGATGATTTGCTGTGGGTAACACCATAACAGATGTTTGTGCTTTCACTTATTGAAATGCTCTCACTTTGTTTTCGCATATGTATTATGGATTCAGAAGCAACTCTATTTAACTCTCTTTGTTGTTTATGTTATGCTTCATGTTGGTTAAACATTTCATCTTATGTAGTTATGTTAGTTTGATTACATCATAAATGGAGACGACACATGATAAATTATTTTGTGACGGATTTCTTTATTTTTTGATCAATTACTGTCTCATTTCAATCCAGTTTGTTGCTTAAAAGTTCTTCTAATGAGGTATTTAATGCAAATCATAATAGTTGTTTGTGTCATAAAGATTGAAGGTGAGGGTCGAAATCATACAAGCGAACTGAACTATATGACAATATAAAAGAAAAAATAAATTTTTCTTTATCATGTAGGTAAGTTCATAAAACTATACTGTTAAGTACTAGTAGGAACCCTTGTGGCAGCATTACTGCAAATGGTTTCTTGAGATTCCATTTTGCAATAGAAAAGAAATCAAACTTCTTTACAAGTGATGCAAGGGCTTATTAACTATGTAAGTTAATAGCTAATATGTAGATGGTGCAATACTAGATAATATTAAGCAAGAAAGAAATAATTTACTTACTCAAGAAAGTAATTATTTGTCGACATCGCCCATAAACAAAAAATGTAAAAGAAATATACGCTGCTAGCTACTTTTCTTTTTATCTTCATTTTATTTAAATTTCATTATGGGTTATGCTACATGTACACTATAATATTCAAAAGGCGTTCATAATGTATAAATAACATAATATCATTGGAGAGTTGAAAAATAATTTTTCCAACCTTTCAATCATGGAATTCCACAAGTATATTATAGACACTCTTATGGATACCATAATATACACATAGAATCATCCTTCCATTATTTGGCATTGAGTTGGATTTGTGAGTTTATTCATGTAAACAACACTTTCTAAAAAACGTGCTAAGCACTCTACAATTAACCCCCGTTAGGCCCCCTTTAAATCTCATCAATTTAAATAAAATTTTTCTCTCTCTTGTTTTCAATCACACAATTTTTAATAAAATAATATTACACGCAAATCAAAAGCTTTTCATTCTTTTATAACTACTCATTTTTCAAAAAAAAATTATTTTTCCCATTATAATTCAAATTAATGGAGGCCAAACAGGGGCTTAGAATCATTGCTTATTGTTGAAAATTTGTCTAAAAAGTATAAACCCTCAAAAGCATCTCTCCATTTTCGCACTTTTGCATTCATTTAATTAATTCACTAGATCTGCCCAGAAGATAAAAATATTAACATTATTCACCATGTAACAAAGAAAAGGATTAGACGGCTATTACTGTGACAACGATAATTATTATTTCAGTGTATATATATACTTTCATGTAGTTTTGTAGTGTCCTTAGATGTTTCTGACTAAAAAAAAAAAAAATATATATATATATATATATAATTGGCAGTGTACATTGTTTATCTGTCGAGAAAATTTGTCAGTCTCAACTCTCAATAGATGACTTCTATTATTCTCAACAATTTGAACGGCATGAAACAAATTGTCGAGAATTTAGCCTAGTTTTGCATGTTCATGCCGTCGAACCACCTCAACTCCATTTCCCCAACCCTCGGTTTACCCCCTTATTCCATATCGTCACATATTCGAACGACTTAGTTGATCAATCTAGTGAAAGGAGTGTCCTTCACGAATTCCCTTCTTGAATTTCGACAATATTTCCCTGTCGTCTTCTCCAACCTTCAAGAGGTTTTTTATAATTTGTTAACATACATACTCCTTTATGAGGATGGTTTGGATATGATGACTATGTTACACCTCGAAGATTGTCATCATTAATTTTGACGAGGAGATGAAAGAGAACGAAAGTGCACATGATGTTTGAATGATGTTGTTGCATTATTATTATTATTATTAATTTTTTTTTTTTGTTAATTGTATTGATTGTTGCAGTGTTAAGTTTATTTCGAAGGCTGTTTATTTATTTATTTTTTTCCTAATTTTTAACGAAATGTATGGAAGATGGATCTTCAAGTACTTTCATGAAATTACTTTCATGGATGAATATGTTTAAAAAATCAGGCCGAACTATCAAGAAATTCATTAGCAAACTATCGAGATTATCATTATATATAACTCTTGACATGTATTGTTTCCAATGTCATTTGTAGTATAATGGTATGTACAATATTATATGCTCAATGATTTATACACGAATATCATGAATAATAGTTACTGGTGAATGAAAATGAATTACAATATCGGGTCATCAAATAGTCGCACTAACGAGCCTAATGGCTTACATTCAAAAATAATAACTATTGCATTTTTTTAACAAATAATATAGTAGACTTTTGAGTCTGAATTATCGTTTTCACGAAAACTATACTTTAATATTTTTAACTCCTATTTGATGAATGAAACAAATATGATTGGTGTGATTGTTGTTCTAACTGAACTTAACTAATAAAAATAGCTATGTGAACACAACGTTTGATTTAAAATTCAAATATAGAATGATATATTAGGGCATAACATTTTCATCTATTGATAACTTTTAAATCTTAATTCAAGATTCACAATGTAGTGTTTGATTGAATTATTCTACTGTATTTAACTTACCCTTATCGAACTCTTACTGAACCTATTTAACTAATTTAATTTCACATCTCTACGTAAATCTATATTAATTAAAAGAAATATTTGTTCTAAGAATTCATATGACGACTGCAATAACATAGCATAAGTATCTCTACATGTTATACGAATTGTTTCCCATTAATGTAAGAATGAGTATGAAAAATATAGTCGTTACCACCCCACGCAAGAGATAGAAATTCAAATATGGTAATTTGATATGATGGATAACGATCATATTTTTCATTTTAATAGCCATATATTGGGAAACAAACAGGGGCTAAATTATGAGTGAATTGCCCAAATAGTCATTGAACTTTACAGAAGATTTCCACGAGATCCCTGAACCTTTAAAATCACCTCATTCATCACTAAACTTTTATTTTGTAATCTCATTAGTCACTGAGCTCAAATTCCGTTAAAACAATGATGGAGTGTTGACATGGCTGGTTGACATGGCGAAACTCCCTCAATAAAAAAGGGAAAAAAAAGAAAAAAGAAAAAAAGAAAGTTGAACTAAAACACAATAAATTCGCACCAGCAGAAGATATCTCCATCCCCCTCCTCAAAATCAACCACCCCCAGTCACTGTAAACCACATCTTCAACACCCATAGCCATCACTAATTGATAGCAAATTCGCATATCAACAAAAAATAGGCAGATTTATGTCAAATGGCTAAAAAGTTGGGCAGATTTTGATTCAGAAAATTGGAGCTAGTAATGGATTAATTAATTCAATTAAGGAGTTATTCAAGGTTATATTAACCTGCTGAAGGTTGTACTGGGTCCAATTTGTTGCAATGACATCATTTTGCCCATCAATTGGAGGCGAATTCACCTCGGGTGCATGCATGCATGTGGGGACTAAAAATTTGAGCCTGAAAATTTAGAATTGCTTCACTATTTGATGATATGAAATCATGGTTGGATGTGCCTTAGAGTGTAGACGAGGCCAATATGTGTTGGCCGTGATGGGTTTATTGGAAGGGTGGTTGCTTCCAAGTTTTTGGGCCGCCAACGGTGAGAGGTTTGGTGGTTATCGGGGGTAGGTTTGGGGGTGGCGTGAGGCCGGGATGGTGGTTGGGATTTGTTGGGCGGGTGAGGCCGATATCTGTAGCGGTGATACCCGACGGCCTAGGTGGCAGGATGGTGGTTTTTTGGAGGTGGGAATTGACAGTGTGTGGCGGTGAACGTGGTTTTGATTTTTTCTAATAAAACACGTTTTAATTCAAAAAAATCCACGTGTATAGCATTTGCTTGACTTGGCATCCACTAGTTGACACATTAGCCAACCACATCAACACTACGTCAACTTTTTTAACGGAATTTGAGTTCGGTGATGAACGACATTACAAAATGAAAGTTTAGTGATGAATGATGTGATTTTTAAAGTTAAGTGACCTTATGAAAACTTTCTGTAAAATTCAGTGACTATTTGGGCAATTCACTCCTAAATTACAGAATTTTAATATGTGGTCTAAATTTAAAACTCACCTCTCGATTCGCAATATATTCACAAAATCATTGAATTTGTGATTAAGTAATTCAACGCATTAAATTCATAGTAATATCGATACATATATGATAAAATAACAAGAATCTTGAATAAAAAAAATAAAGGGTTTCAAATAGATTACATTATTCGCCATAATATAAAATTTAGCTACTCATAATGTAAAAATAAAAAACATGTGATTGTAATTGAATACATTACCGAATTTTGTTCAAAGATGTAGAAAAAACCATTAATTTTGCGTCAAGATCATTTTCCTCTTCCATTCAATACTTCAGACATTTAATTTCTTGATGTTTCTCTCCTTTGATTTGCTCTCTTCAATTTCCAATGTATGTTTTTCTTCTCAATGTGTTCGACCCCCTAAACGTGCCTTCCTTCTTCTCTTTGTACTCCCCATCATGTTTGTGTCGAATGAAGAGTTTTTATAGACTTTAAAATGGGCCCAAAAAAGCATCCTGGATGTCCTTCAGGTGGTGCCTTAGTGCCTAGAAGTGGTGCCATGACGTCGCGTAATTTTCTTCAATAGCATTGCAGCGCCTTATGTGTAGCGCCACGCTGTTTTTTAGGTCAGTATATGTCTCCCTTTTCTATTTTGATGTAGGAAATTGACTATTTTACCTTTTTGTTCCTCTTTTCTCCTCGATTTATGCCTATAGTCTTTTTTTTTTTTTCATGATTTGCATTGATATGTGATTCAATTAATAAACTGGGACGATTGGTAGAGAGAAGATAACTCCCACCATGTTGAACAATTTCCGCTATGTCGGAGAGCGCCTATCATGATATAGCGACTGTCGTTGTGCCAGTTCGATTGACGCTACGTTCGCTTGCTCATAGGGTACAGATAGCTTTTAGCATGTCAGGTGATGCTCGTCATAGTAGAGCGCTTATTGCTATGCTAGTCTGACTCTCGCCACGCGCGGACCGATCGTTGTTATCCGAATTACCCGAACTGCCGAACATCATTGGAACTAGTCAATAACCATTCTAATGGTTATCATTAAACATGTTATCAGAGTAGTGGGTG